TCTTAGTCACTCTTAATGGAACAAAATAGAAATTCACAGATGTGAATCTCCCCAGTGTCTCTTTTTCTTATGTAAAAACTTATCTTCAATGGCAGTTGTCCCACCCTCCTTTGCTCACTTGCTCTTTCTCTCCAAGCTCTAGTCTTTCCCTAGGTACTACTTTTCATTTTATAACTTTTAAATTTTATCAATTATCTTTGTCTTTTCTTGCTTCATTTACAAATAAACTCAGTTTCTTCATCTTAAGACAACTAAACCAAACCCCAAATCAAAAAACATATATCTTATCCCTTTTCAAAGTTTCTGCTACCTCCATTTATCCTCTACAGCCCAAGTACAGGTTCTACATCAAGTCCTTGCCATACTTGTCTGGTCCATTGCAATGGCCTTACCCTCCCCATTCACAGAAACTACTGTTGCTAAATGGAAGTCAAAGTGGTCCTAATGACAAAACTCAGTCACTTCATTCTCTTAAATCTTAGGTACTGGCAACCATTGTCTTGATTTTCTAGAATGGGCAGTCTGGTTTTACTTGTCTGGTCTCTTCCATCCAAATGTTAAATTTTACTGTCCCTCGGGATCATCATTTTTCCCTCATGTAATGTAAGTCTTTGCTTTATCATCTACTTCTGAGTCCAAAAAATAGATAAAAGAGATCCAGTTTGGAAGAATATTAGCACAATGTTTCTACTCATGGCATGTACAAGTTCAAAATATCATAAGAAATCATTTGAGATATTATTCCTTTAAAAATAGATTTGCCTCAGTTGGTGAATTTTATGTGTGAAGGTCATTACAAATGAGAAGTTTTGGGGGGAGGAGCAGGAAAAAATTAGTATCTTTCAAAAGTTTTTACTTGTTTGGTGTGGGAGCAAGTAAAATGTTAATACTTTAAATTTAGGTAGGAGTTACAGAGCATATTATTTGAATTTATAGAACATTTTGGCACTTTACAGCGCAGTTCTATTTTGGACAGGCTGGCTCCATCAATAGCAAATTTGAATAAGTACAATACTAGAGAACTATAGCACTAAGCACACTTGCAATGAAAACAAAGCATATCTCTATAAGGGAATAGGTTTAGTTACTAACAATATTCAGCTGACTACCAAACTTGTAGCTGTGCTATTTGTCTTAGAAAGAGCATCTGAGACCAAAAGGGGTTTTAAATAACTTTATTTTCTAAAAATCCGTTCTGCAAATATGTTTTTTTTCTACATGGTCACTTCTTTAAAAATGAATAGAAACACAGGCAAAGCTTATCTTGATGGTACAGGATGGAGTCAGTCAAATTCAGCTCTTAAAGAGTTAAGGTCAACCAGGAGGAGTTCTGCACTTGGCCGCTGTAGAGTGCTGGCCCTCCAGCAGCACTGGATGATCTTCTCAAGTCTTTTCCCAGAGATGGAGTCAGTGAAGACAGCTGCTGACAGAGATGGACGAAGATTATAGGCCACCACAGCGTAGAGCACGTACTGCCGCTCCCCTGAGTAGGGCACCTCCTTGGTAGCCATTTGCCAAAGAGTGATGGCAAAGGAGTAGATGTCAGCTTTTGGCGTTATCATCTCTCCTTTCAGGAGCTCTGGAGCTCGGTGGGTGTAGGTGCCCCCCAGGGGGTAGGGAGGAGCCTGGAAGCACAGCACGTCTTCCAGCTTCTCTGAGCAACCGAAGTCCCCAATTTTGCAGACATCCTGCTCACTGATCAGAATGTTAGCCGGCTTCAGGTCCAAGTGTACAATGTTTTGTGAGTGAAGGAAAAGCAGGCCTTTCACAATATCTAGGGAATACTTCAGACACTTTCCCAGATTTAATTGCTCTCCGGCACAGCAGTGAGGCTGCACATCCTTCTCAGAGCAGCTCGTGGCACCGTATATGACTTGGTGTAAGGTGACATTGCCACCAAACTCCATGATTATGGTGCCTAGGCTGTTAAATCCCGCAGGTGTGCGTGTGCTTGCAGCCACGACCTGCACGATGTTATCATGGCGAAGCCTTGCGATGTTGAGCTCAGCCCAGAAACTGCGCTGGGATGCCAGTCGGTTCTTGGTGCACTTGTTCACTTGTTTTATGGCCACCAGAACACCATGGTAAGTCGCCTTGTACACGGAGCCAAACCCGCCAGCTCCCAGCCTCTGCAGGAAGCACACCTGTTCCCAGTCGATGGAGCACCAGGCCAGCCGACGTGGTAGCCTTGGAGCCCTGGGAGGAGTGCCACCCAGGAAGAGCTTCCCTGCTTTACTTGGGAGCTCGGAAGGGCTGCTGCAGGGCCGCGAGTCCACCAAGGGAGAAAACTCACTGGGGAGGTAACTGTGCCGGGAAAGTGGTGAGGGCATGGCACTTTCAAAGTGGACCCCAAAGTGGCTCAGGTAAACCAAAAGAAGAGGGTCCCACGAGTTTGGAAGCATCTCTGACTACTCCTTTGCTCCGCCCTGCGCTTTTCTCCTCTTCCTTCATTTTCTCCAAATGAGCTGTGTCTGTGCTGTTACTCACAAGGGTTTTTATCAGAGGAGCGGAAGCAGTCTGAATGAAGTACAATCCTTTTTAGATGAAAATATTTCCCTTCAACACTTAAAGTGACTTTTTATAAAAATAAGCTCTCCACCCAGAAGAGTTAGCCAGATAAACAGCAGTGAGCTGCCTGTGGACTCACCCCCTTTTTCCATTATTTCCTTAATTATAAAAAAACAGCTTTTTTTTTTTAAGTGTCATCCACTGAACATGATCAGTGTTCAGACTAAAGAGACTATATAGTGTGATGAAATTATTTCACATTTTGCAGGCTATAATGATTGTCAGTGTTATTCTCCAGCTGCATTAAATCACTTCCAGCAGTTATTGGCAGAAATATTTGAAATACGAACAGCTGACATTTGTTTAGCCGATTATGGGGATAATTAGGTGCAACATTCATATATGGATAAAAAATTGTAACCTTAAAGTAATTGATCCAAATACAATCACTAATACAGGTCAAAACATACACCTCCTAAGGTCATCAGGGGAAAGGAAAATTCTCTGACACTCCATTCAGCTCATATAGCAAATTAGCAAGATTTCTTAGCAACATATCGACTTCCTAACAGTCCTGTTCCATGGCAGTTTGGCCCACCCAGTAAGCTCACTTGCAAGAGAGATCTTAGACTTCACGGCAAATGAGTTACAGAAGTTTTGAAACAGAGTTGGGGGAGAAAAAAAAATTCAGATTCAGAACCACAATCAGAGCTTCAAATAATAACAAATATGAGAGAATCCTAGAAGAGGAAAAATCCGAATAAAAATGGCACAGAATCACCACTGCCTATATATAATGTGGAAACCCAGATGTTAAAAATAAATGAGTCTTGCTACTCAACCATAAGTTCTTTCTTTCTAGTTTTTATAACAACAAACTCCCCACCTCCCACTAATTTGCATTCCATATCTTTGAGGAAAAGACCAATAATACTAACCTGTTGATTAAAAAACATAGGAAGGTGTTAGGATCCATGTTTTTAAAAAATTGAATGGTAAAATTCTGTTTTAACTTATTGTACTTAGCATGTAGGTGATGTTTAACCACATTCTTATAAAAGAGGTCTGTTTCTGAGATATATTGATTCTGAGAAGATATGTGAATAAACACAAGCCATTTACATAAACCATTTGAAGTCTGTTGGGCCCTAGGGTAGGATTTCTAGTCTTTACTACCCATCTGCCTTAGATATTGTGTGTAATATTTAATCTGTTTGAGCCTTGTTTTTTTTTTCTCAGTTAAGAAATTAGGATAATAATAAACTTTTTAATTTTGGAATAAAAGTTCGGGAGCCCTGTACAAATAAAAAAAAGTCTAAAAATGTATATTATAAAATATATTAGTAGAAAGGCAGTTGAATCAAAACCAAAATATAAAAGAATGACAGTGAAGAGAGTAAAATAAGAAAGTAATAAAATTATATTCTACAGTAAGTCTATTACAAAATTTATTTAATAGTCATCACATAGTTGGCATTATAATTTAGGTCTCCGGAACTTTTATGGTATTAGGAATGCTATATTGATAGAAAAAGTGTCATAACCTTCTTTGCAAAATGATGTGACTTGTTATGTAATCTTTATTTTTAAGCTAAGAGCATAGGTAATTCATTCTACAAAGGTTGATTTTATTACTTATATAAGATACAAGGTATTAATGAAAATGTGGTACTCTACATTCACAAGCCTCAAGTTCATTATATCTACCATCTGCCAATCTGCTCAAGAGTATTTCATTGAATATCTATTTTAAAACAGCCTCTGGGGCCAGATTGCCTGGGTTTCTTACTATCCTTCAGTTTCCTTATCTGTAAGATGAGGAAAATCTGCCTGAGGACTGCTGTCAGTATTCACAGCAAATACTTAGATCCGGACATGATAAGTAATACCTAATTGCTAATTATCATTTATGAAACTCATAAAGTGTATATGGGCTCACGCTGTAAGAAACAGATTTGTTAAGACGGTGTTAAAGCGTACCCTGCTGGGCAGCCCCGGTGGCGCAGCGGTTTAGCGCCGCCTGCAGCCCGGGGTGTGATCCTGGAGACCTGGGATCGAGTCCCACATCAGGCTTGTTGCGTGGAGCCTGCTTCTCCCTCTGCCTCTCTCTCTCTGTCTCTATGAATAAATAAATAGAAAATCTTAAAAAAAAAAAAAAAGCGTACCCTGCTAGGGCTGAAGTAACTCATTACTTAAACTAAACCGATCTGAGGTTTGACTGGCTTTCCCAACTTAGATCTTATTTGAGGTCACATATGTCAAGAGTATATTGCCTTACTGTCACATACTAGAAATGCAGAGGGTCAACGTTTATCTGATCAAATGCAATAATCTTGTCATAGCAAATAAAGGCAAAGAATATCCGTTAATAACAGGGTAGGCACTGTCTCTCCTAGAAGTGCAAATGAAACAGACTGGGCGCCCCCGGTGAGGGGCAGGGGGCAGAGGCGCTCGGGTTCTTAAAGGCTTTCCGTTTTCCCTCCGCCTGGCAGCACTTCTGTGAGGAGCTCCGTGGGTATCGGGCAAGTAACCGTGACGGCGGACAGAGTGAAGAGCGCGCTGAATCCCACTTCAGCGGGAGGCAGGGAGGAGCGCGGCTCGCGCGAGGCTTTCCTCGGGCTCCGGGGCTCGGGAGGGCGCCGGCCCCGCGGCCCGTGCGCAGGCGGCGGGCACCACGACGCCTGGGCGAGCTGCCCCGAGGCCTCCCGGCCCTGGAGTGGGCGCGCGGCCTCCCGGGTGCGGGGAAGCACGTGGGCCGGCGGTCCCGGCCGAGGCGGCCTGCGCCGGGGTCGGCGTGCGCCCGCTGCCGCGTGTCCGTGCCCTTCTGCGCGCACACAACTGCCTCTTCGTTCGCGCTCAGTCATCACGTAGCCTTCCGGGAGACGTTTTTAAAAGGCCGCGCAACTCCGGCTCGTACCGACGACGACCACGTCGCACGGCTCGGGCCGCGTCTGCGCGTGCGCGCCGAGGGACCGGGCTTCCCGGGGTCTCCGGCTGCAGCCGGATCCCAGAAAGCCCGAATGCGAGGGAACGGGCGCCCTGGGGTCCTTGAAGGGTTGTATTGCTGCTGTTTGCAAGCATGAGTCGAAGTCGAAAATAAACTTTTGCTTTTTTTTTTTTTTTGGAGCTAAAATAATAAGTGAAGACGTGCTTTGCTAAAAATAAAGACTATGAAGTTGAAAAACTTTAATTTTTTTTTTTACTTAAGTGGAATTATTATTAATATTATGGAGTTTGAATTTTATGGTCAGCAAGAATTACGTATGTTCCCATGTCAGTACAGAAGCATGGAGAGCTACTTTGGTTTTTCTAAGATAATATGCTCAGGGGCAGATCCAGGTTTTGTGGGGGCTTAAAGCTCAGACAAACGAAAGGAACCCTTTGAAGGCGGAGGAAGGAGAACCAGACCACCGCTGAGCCTGAGGCGGGGCTCCATCCCCGGACCCTGGGATCAGGACCTGAGCCCAAGGCGTAGCTTAACCTATTCAGCCACCCAGGCAGCCTTAATTTTACTTTACGTATATTTCCATTCATATACATGACTTTGGCCAATAGTCGTATTTATCAGCTCGCATGTTTTTTTGTTAATAAAATTGCTTTCTTGAAACAGATAGGGGTTGATTATGATACAGCCTCTTATAATTTGGGCCAGTGGCAAAAGTTCACTGGCTTTATTTAATATATGCTAAGCTGTCACTAAGTTCTCCCTAATCTATCCTGAATATTAAATACTTAATAAGTTTACTGAATTAAACAATGAATGTGACGAATCTCAAGCTTTTTTTTATAGTAGGTTGAATATTGTACATAGTCATATCTTAATTTAGAATCACCAATCTAAACAAATTATTGAATTATACATTTTAAATTAGAGATACAGGCCATCACTCTAATAGGCCAAATTCTCCCACATGTTACAAGTGTCTAAAATCTGAAATACACACAGGTTCCCGCTTGCCAGACAGTAATGCTGTGGATTGCGTGGATCATGTCTCTGGGTGTTATCTGCACACGCTACCTGCTTCTTCTGTGCATTCACAGAGGTTGGTGGCTCTTACCTGGGCTGTTTACTTGGATTTTGTATTTCGGCTCTTAAGTATATTTTTACTTCTGTAGTGTTTAACTTCTAATTTCTCTACCTTTCAACTTAACAGGATATTAAGACCTTAGCAAATGCCTTTCAAATCAGTTTTAAAGATCTTTGAGTTTAATGGTATCTTGCAATTTTTCCATATTCTTAAGACCATAAAATGCTTATGGATACTTGAAATGATATTTGATTGAAATTTGGTGATCTTGAATATCTTTGTTCAACATACAGTTACACCTTATTGGGATCATTATATTGGCATCCTCCTTTAAACCAGAAAACACTTTTTAATTATGTTTTTAATATTTACTGAGTTCTATATTTTTTCACTGATAAAGTAAATGAATCAAAATAACATCATATTGGAATAAAGGATTCAGAAGTAATATAGGCTATTAAATTCACCACCTTTATTCAGCTGTATGCCAATTTTTTCTTGTATATCAGTATGGACTCATGGCTTTTCAGACATTCAGTGTGATTTAACCAAATGTAACACTCATTGTCTCTTATTGCTCAAATTAATGCACCCCTGGGTATTAAGACACTTGTGTTCTTTTGACACAGTCTCATTAATCTGTATTATTTCTCATCTACTGATACAACAAATTGACCCAGGCTTTTAACCCACCATACCCTAGACATGGAATCAGCCATTTCTTTTTTCTTTTCTTTTTCTTTCTTTTCTTTTCTTTTCTTTTCTTTTCTTTTCTTTTCTTTTCTTTTCTTTTCTTTCCTTTCCTTTCCTTTCCTTTCCTTTCCTTTTCTTTTTTTTTTATGATTTTATTTATTTATTTGACAGAGAAAGAGCATAAATAGGGAGAGTGCCAGGCAGAGGGAGAGGGAGATTCATGCTTCCTGCAGATCAGGGAGCCCAAAGTGGGGCTCCATCCTGGGACCCTGAGATCATGACTGAGCATAATAAGCCTCTGGCCTCTGAGCCACCCAGGTACCCCAGAATCAGCCATTTCTCCAGGGTATCCTGGAGATACAGGATTAGAAATCATAATAGTAAAGTTTACACATTAGGTTCATTCTCTTAGGCCCTTGACCCTAGCTCATTTTAGCTCATGGAATTAGAAAACATACTTTTTTAAAAAACGTGTTCATATTGATATTTCTAATTCAGTTCTAACATTATAGTTCCTAGTTAAAACATTTTTATTTCATAATTTCCTTCTTATATTTAAAATCTTGATTCCAAACAAAATTAACATAATTACTAATGTTGTCTGACAATTATTAAATAAAGATTAAGATTTCTTTGCAGTTATTTTTATCCTTATGTTTAATGCCTACACTTAAGGATGTGTAGTCCAATTATTGTCTGGTAGAGTCACTCATAATAATTTGTTGTGAGTCTTTGTAATAATATATAGCATGTCCATATATGTATATGCCATTTGTAATTAGTATGATTTAATTTGTTTTCAATTCTGAGAGGTTATCAGCAATTTTCTTAGAAGGTGGTGACTTTCAGCCAAGATGTTTTCTTTTTATGTGATATTCAGACCCTGGAGGATGGTAGAAATCAATTAACAGTCTATCTTATGAGATGAAGAGTAAAGCACAAATCAAGCAAATTAATTTCCCAAATTCTGTATGAAAGTTTCATTTAGCTACCAGCTGGTCTTTTTGTGATGACCAAATGTAATATTATATGCATACGATTCATATATACAAGTTCTGGTTGGGCAACTAATTCTGTCTTCTATTCAATTTCTGGCAATAGTAGAACCTACATCTGTTTATATGTTCCGTAAATATGAGATGATATTAAAAACTTTACAATTAATTATTCCCTTTTTTAGCTTCCTTATGTAGTACGTGACATTTTTCTACCAACTTAATAATATCACATTATACCGAAATTTAAAATGTGTAAAATCCAAGTGATTCTCTAAGTTTGTTTGTTTTTTATTCATGAGAGACACAGAGAGAGGAGGCAGAGACATAGGCAGAGGGAAAAACAGGCTCCCTGGGGGAGGGAAGCCTGATGCAGGATTCGATATGAGGGCCCGGGATCATGACCTGAGCTAAAGGCAGATGTTTGACCACTGAGCCACCCAGGTGCCCCCTCTAAGTTGGTTTTATCACAGTCCAGTGCCAAAAATCTTTAATTTTTTTTTCCAAGAAGATTTTAAGGAAGTATGTAGTATCTTAGGATTCTGTATTATTAAGAAAGGATGCCGTGTTAGTCCCGTGCTTCTGAGGAACAGCAAGGCAAGATTAGATGCGCAAGAGACTTGCTAGAGGAACATCTCTGAGGGGGAAACGAGGAGGGTGCTGGTGGTATCTGGAGAGCTTTCAGCCTGTGATGCAGTCCTGACCCTTGGGAAGGACGGGGAGAAAAGGAAGGTGAGGTGGGAGAGTTTTAGTCCATAGTGTAGTTCCCTATAGTGTGTCCTAAGAATGTTGAGGATGATGGATGAGACATCCTAAAGTCAAAGTTGCCCTTTAGAGGAATCCCGTGTCTCCTGGGAATGGGCTGGCTTTTGCGTCCCTGCACACAGAGGCACTGGCTGGGAGCAGTGCTGGGAAGCATGGCTTCAGTACAGACATTATGGTCAATTTCAGATGAAGGACAGCTTACTCTGGGGCTATTGGCCAGGAATACTTTCTGCATTCATTGATCTGAGAGACACATTTTCATGGCCACCACAGATAAAATTTTATAAGCTTTAAAGATTTTGTCTGAGAGTCGCTCTACTTGGGTCAAAGTTATTATTATCCTAATTTTTAATTACAGTGTACAATTCCAGTTTTTAAGAAGCCTTTTGATAAGTTGTATTTCTTTTTGAGGTTAAGACTAGGCTTTTAAAAAATAGCTGTATTTGCTTAAAACCCATTCTTGTTTTAGCTTTATACATTTATATTTACACACATTCAACCAAAGGAGTAAACACAAAGTTGTATATATAATCAAAGCAACAGAACCTTAGAAGTTTCCAAGCAGACCACTCTTGACAATCGCAGTACCCCAAGGGCTTTTTGGAAGTAAGGCATTTGTACAAAGAGAATTGTTTTATGTGTGTGTCTGTATAGGTAGGTTGTATATAAAATTGTAAGTAGTTCTCTTTTTATTGATTAAAAAATTGCCTTACTCAATGACTCTTATTTGACTAAGACTTATAAAATATAAGACTTAAATCTATGTTTATATAAAATATGTAATGTATCTTCCCAATGCCTCTTGTTAGACTAAGACTTTTTAAATTTGAAATACAAACAACTCATTTCTCACCTGGCCTTCTGCAGGCTGGACTTATCAAAGGAGAGATACACATTATTTTCATCTATTCTGAAGTACTCAAATGTTCTACCTTTAACAGACAAAAAAAAATTATAATTATTTCTAGAGTGTGCCTCCTTGCCAGCTTGAGGATTTGGGGCTAATGCCTTAAGGCTTAATCTTGCATGAAACTAAAAAGCACTTTATAGTAAAGCTCTTGGCATCCTTGGCTCACATCTCTGGAAACAGAACATCAGGAAACTTGGAACCCCACACACGCTGATTTTGGATGTTTCTGGAGGAGGAAGAACCCATTATTAGAAGGTCTTTAACTCTCATTGAGATGGGAGGCTGGGGTATAGTCTCAGTAGGTCATACTTGGGCAGGCAATGGAAAGAGAACCTTCTGGAAGGCTTCCCTTTGGTTTTTCTCTCAACATCTTTAATGAGGTTTTGCCATTTTCTTGGCAACTTGTGTCAGATTCTCATCTCCTCTTCCGTGCACACCATGAATCAGTCTCATTGGCATGGTGATTACTCTGGCTTTCCTTCAGATGTTTCAAGATACCATAGTCCCAGTAGAAATTGAAATTTGGAGTCATCTCTAACATACCTATTGCAGAGCTTGCAGACCATGTGCTATAAATGGTCCAGAGCTATCTGAGGAAAGCGGGACATGCCTTCCTGACATTTAGACAT